TATATTTTTCTTTCTTATTCTGTCTTCTGTAGAGGATCTTTCTTTTCCTCTTTTTATATATTACACACAGCATTTCAGAGGGTATAACATGTCAAATGCTTAATGTGATGTAATGCAAAATGTATTGTAATACTTCCCTATGCCTTCGCTCTGCCGTGTGAATGTGGAAGTGAGAAAGGTCTGCGGGAGGAAGGAAGGATGAGTTGGGTTGTGTAAACTATCTTCGGAGTACCGTGTAGCCATTGCGACAGAGGAAACGGAAAATGCTCTGCTCACACGTCCTGGTGCTCAGTAAGCAGGTGTCCAAGATGAGGCCAAGATCCCGAGACACAGGAGGCCCACCCGACATTCCCCCACCACTGCTGAAAGAAACACAAGGAGGCCGAGCTGAATGGAAAAGGGTGGTAAAATATGGAATATCTGAAATGGAAGATTCCAAAGGCTGCACATTGGAGGATTATTGTGTGATGGTAGGGTCCATTTGTGGACACGTCACAAACCATCAAGCAAAAAATAAACAATAAATAAGGGATCTGACCTGCCTGCTCGTAATAAAGAATTAAAGGAGTCCAATTATCCTGGACTCCTCTTCTCCAAATAAATTAAACCGGTGAACAAGTAGCAGGTGATTGACATGTTTTGCAATGCTTTCAAATTTAAACAAACATGAATGTTTCTGCCACAGGTATTTCCCATTAATTTCACCATATTTTGATTTCTTCCGTCACAATTTCAGAATAAACCCAAACTTACACTTACACTTCTTATAATAACAGAAAACGTCTAACTTGTGTTTTGCTCCATTGCGTAGTTGTGTGCAGCCCTATATGTCACATGCTCGCTCATGCTATCGTCCGTAAAGTTGTTACTGTCCATGCATGCAGACAATTAGACCTCACAACTTCAGCTGCAGTTTTGCATGCAGTGCAGTCCTCTCATGTGATACGTTGTCTTTGACTCTTGTGTGTGCGTGTCACATTAGTGAATTTGATGCACGCAAGGGTGACGTTTGTGCACGTGCAACCCTCGCTGTTGCCATAGATTGAACGAACTGTGTGGGGAAACGCTGCTTCCACCACTTCATAAAATGTGAATTAACAAAGAAAGGACACACAAAAGATAAATATAAGTCATTCAGATAAACATCCAAAGTGTTCTTTCTCACTTATAGACATACATTGAGTGCAAATGAGAAAGAGACAGAGGAAAAGAGCATCCGTTGGCGAGGAACGCAGCAGACACATCTCCACTTGACTACAGTTGCCAGGTTACCAAAAACATTCAAAAAAGCAAAGAGTTATTTTAAGACGAGCAAGAAGAAAAATAACCAATGTGACAGAAAGGGCAGACACCGACAACAGGTAAAATGTGAACCTTTTTGTATTTTTTTTTTTTTTTTTTTTCACTTTTACAAATATGACGTGTCCTATAAAATGTTAAGCCACCTAAAAGTCCACAGTTTTCTTTCATGATTTAAGTTTGTAATATTTAATGAGAATTTTGATGTTCACAATAAAACATGGAGATGATGTACAAGGATGAATACACTTGGTTAGTTGTCTCATAATCACAATTTCATACCAGACATATTTTGAAAAGGCTGTTTTCTTTGAGGCCATATGAAATTTATTCTCTGGAGCCTGAACAAATGTTAGATTTCACTGAAATCAGAGAGTGAATACTGGTCTTACAATTGACTGGTGACAGAAATACAACTCCTAATAAATCATTTGGCTCTCAATCCACTGGGAGCATAACGAGAGCAACAGTTTAGTAACAAGATTCTAATTTTAAAATGAAAAAGGTTATTTGTTAATGATTTCTGCTGCCCCCCAGTGACCAAAAACTTCTATTGCAAGTTTAAGTCTAATAAATATAAATAAAATCTCCTGGTGTTATTAGGTGTTGATAAGGAATAGTTTAAGGATAAGGACCAGGCATAAGAAAAAAATGAGAGGGGGAATATTTATTTTCCATCTATACTTCGAGAATAAAGTTGAAATGTGAAGAAATTGTGAACAAAAAAATCAGAGATTTGTTCCAATCTTGTGATTTGAGAATATATTTAATTTCAACATAATTACTAATGTTAGCACATGTTGCTTTCTCTACAGAAAAACCTGTAGAGATGAGATTGATGAAATTGTACTTCAGAATTACTTTTAGTAACAAGGAAATGATTTCTGTTTTTCACATTAGCACAGAGTGGTATTAGTTCTTTGAGGAGGTTGCTTTGAAAACTGTTAGTTCATAGGAAGAAATCACAAAAGCTTGGAAAGATGGAACAAACTCTTTTGACTGGATTCAATAGGGTTAAGAAAAAATGGTTTAGTCTGATTTTATTCTCAAGATTTGAACTTTTTTCTTTGGGTTTCAGTTTTATTCTAGAAAAATGTGGGGAAAGTCTTAAACTACTCATTGTCTTCTTATTTCTGGCCCAAATACTCTAGTTTTTCAATCTAGAGATATTGAAATGATACAAATGCAGACACAGTGCTATTAAAACTAATTTAAACCTTTCTCTTTGGTTTCATTCACTAAACAAAACATGATTATTTATGACCCACAACGTATGCTTTTTTTTTATAGGGACACTAACACATAAGCCTCAAGAGCTCATTTTCATCATCTTGTCAAAGGCGGTCATCATCTGAGCTTTCTGTGAATGGTTCATTGAAGAAGCGGCAGAGGCACAAGAGGATCACATATGCATGAATGTGTTTGTGTCTGTAGACCCTCTCTGCTGTCCAAGCCACTTCAGAAAACAAACTAAACAAAGAGCAGCTCTAGAAAAGTAATTCAACAAATTATAATTAATATTCCAGCAGCGCTGACAGGCTCAGATACAGGAAACTATTTATTTATTTGATTTCTCTCATTTTTTATTATTAAAAGGACTTCCTCTGTTTAATGTATTGATAATAAAAAGATGATGATTATGTTGCGGTTCCCTTTCACAATCTCTTTCTGATACCTGGAGAAACTTGGGCTGGGCAGTTATATTATATATTTAATTTTCATGAATAGCAATTAAAGATTCAATTTATTGATGTATTGTTTATGTGCAAGCAGCATGAGGAGGTATAACACATCATTCATCTGCCTCAGATCTATAAAATGTTTTGTTTGTCATTCATAAAGAAGAGTTGAAAACTGAAAGACATTGTGATGTGACATCACTGATATATTATTGATATATGAAACATTTTGATATGTTGTGTCAGTGTCTTTAATACCCAGCACATGTTGATGCTACTATAATCCTTTTGTAAATAAAATTACCTGGAGCAAGTTTCGAGGTCACATGACCTAAATAGTCCAATCAACACTTTATTAGTTAGCACGCGAACACGCTACATGTGGGTCCAGTCGTCAGCTTTGTTTGCGTATTAATGTTTTCCGGCTCATTAGACTTTAACTGAAATTATGTCTCGCAACGAAATATGTTATTCGGACAGATACAGTGACGAACATTATGAGTACAGGTGAGCAACATCATCACTCATGATTCCTACTGCTAAGCTACACGCTAGCTACCTGTTGAACTTCTGTGCGTTAAACTAGACGAGTGAGCCTTCACCTTTTCTTTCTTCTTAACCTTCGTCAACACGGACACTGGGATTAAAAATTCAGTACAAAGTTTTAATCTCACCTTTACTTTGTGTCGATGATGAAGCGACTGCACGGATTGGGTTTGTTGCCCCTTGTGGCCATGGGTGGAAAGACAACCACTGAGCGCTGAAACGGATGTTCTCCGAGTGTTTTCTACATTCCGGCCTCAGGGGGCAGTAATGAGCCCACATCGGTTTGGGAGGAGAAGAAGACTCCGTGTTAGAAAATACATTTTCTAGAAATTTAATGTTTTATTTTAATCTAGAATTTTGTAAATAATGCGATTCATTCCAGAGACAAGACTTTGGTTTAACTATAACCTGTATATGTTTGTGGTCAGCAGCTTTCTGTTACTGTCAACCTTTTAAATAACAAAACCTGAACACGATTCAAATGTCACAAAAACATTGCAAACTCCAGACAAACAAAAAGTGGGAATTACAGACTATGTCAGTCATGTTTGTTACTATTACAAACTTGGTTTTGCTGTGATTTTCAAGATATGGTGCAAGGACATTTAAATGTGCATGTTTGTAGGAATTTAAAGCAGATATTTATATATGCATGTTTTAAGGCAGACAATCAACCAACCTGTCAAGATTTGTGCATATGATATAGACATGGCTGCATTGTATTGAGTGTGTGTCAAACCTTGCAGCACATTGACCCTGAGTCTGTCACCACTACTTTACCTTTCTAATTCACCAGACATGTTGTCCTGCCTCGGAAAATGGCTCAATATGTTCCAAGATCGCACCTGATGTCCGAGGACGAGTGGAGACAACTGGGAGTGCAGCAGTCCCAAGGATGGGTCCACTACATGATTCATAAACCAGGTACTGTATGTCATTCCTCCCTCGTGCTCCATGGTGTTGGCTCCCCTTTGAAATGCAAATGCTGTTATCGTTTGCTCTAAAGAAGCTACTTTCACCAGAATTAAAAAATAAATTCAGATAATCATTAGTCCTCATGATAGCAAATCCACTGTGTAGTTCATATTTTCCTCCCATTTGAAGCTACAATATTGTGTTGACAGATGAAAACTACATTTCCAGAATAGTGATGTGTCTTGGTAAGCAATGCAGTGATTTGATTGTGTCATTTTACTTTCAGAGCCACACATCCTCCTCTTCAGAAGGCCTCTACCAAAGCACTGACATCATCCCACTCATGCTAATTATTGTCATCTGTGCATAAGTTGTATATTCGCAGCTAAAGAGCACAGTTTGTACGAAGTCATGGACATCAACTGTTACTCAGTCAAACAACACTGCACTCTAATGTCTGATTTGCCATCTCAACTGCAATCTGCATGATATGTCTGTTTCTGATCTGTGCATGGTGAGGAGTTTGCATTTGTCTCGGTCAACCTCATTGATTTCATGGAATCAGCAAGAAGAGAACTGTCTTGTGACTTTGTGCTAGCACCACGACATGTGTCGATGATGCAAATGGAAAATACTCATAATAATGCTGCTTTTTCTCTTCAGAATTTAATAACGGGATATCTTGCTTGACTTGTATTAATGTTACTGAATGGAGATTGTCAAACCACTCTCAGACCACGTTTACTGAAAATGACTTGATTTACATAGAAATATTTTGATATCTTTGCTGCTGTAACACTCAAGTCCTATTTGATAAACAATGATCCATCCACACCATGTTTCTCCTTTTTATCTATTGTGATCCTTTCTTTGGCCACAAGAAGGTGCTGTGGTTCCACTTGTAGATGGAACCCTGTATCGCTGAGATTTGGAGAACCATATTTTTTTTCAGTTTCATAGTTTGCAAATATTTTTCAAATTTAAGGTTGAGCTGTTTTATTTAATCATTCTTCGTTTTGGTCCATTTAGTCAAATCTGTATCTCTACAGTGAAATAATCTGCGGTAACCTCTGTAAATGGCACAAATGGCTTTAAAATAGAAGTGTTTGGTTAATAATTCAGATGGTTCAGAGTGTTCCTGTGGAAAAAAGCTGATGTATCACTCTGCCTCTGCACTCCGGTCTGCAGGATTAATACAGAGTTTGCGCTGCATGGGTCTTAAAGTTTTCACCATCTGAATCTTAGACCTTGAAATTCTTTAAAATACATTAGAATATTTGAATACTTTTAGCCAGGTCATTGTCACATGAGTGTTTATGTAACGCTACTTCTCATTATGCTTTCAAATTTGTTTTTGCAAGAGAAATGTTTTACCGGCATGCATGTGTTTCAAGTGTTATTCTCTGCCAGGCTACTTCTCCTTATCTTCCACTCTGGGGAGGTGTGAGTAATTCTGGGACTTCATATCTGACGCACTTGATGTAGGTCTTTCTTCCTCTCGGTCTTATAATGGTATTTAAAAGTCTTAAATTTAAATTGTTGAACCAACAGAATTCAAAAGTGAAACATGTTCTGACAAAAATGAGCCATAATGGCGTTTAAATCAATGTAAGCATCAATAAGACTCTCCCCATTTAATTCTGTTTCAAAAACTCACAGTTTTAATTGAAGAAACACTGACTACAGACAGAAAGCGTTGGATTTAATTCCTTTTGGATGCTGTGGTTTTATCTGAATTCCACATCGGGTGATATCCTCAAACACAAGAGCTATAATGTGCCTTTCACAGTAACCTGCTCCATTCCTGGGATTTAATACTTTGAATAAGCCAGGGCTTTGACTATCCAATATGTCCAATAAAGGTTAAAGACACTATCATCTCAAGGGACAGATTCAGATTGTAGCTGTGAAGGATCAAACAGGCGTTGGAAGGTACAAACATCATAAATAACACACTATGAACAGGCCTGATCTGCCACAGATGCTACATCATGTACATTTATTTATTAGCGTCCCTTATATACCATCTGTTTTACTGTTCTATACAAGTGCTTCTTTCAGGACGTTCATTTCATTAATAAAAATAAAAATAGATGCATCTTTGGTAGGAAGGCAGCCCACACGTCCTCAGATCAAGTCCACCAATGAGCTCCATCTCCTCACCAGGTTTGGGTAGGAGTCCCAGCAGCCGTCCACCATCACGAGCAGGTGAGCCCCTGCAGGAGGCAGGTGTAAATTCTTTGCTTCATGGTCCATCAAACTCCGATACAAGAAGTGACACTGGGACAATCTTTGTGTATTGTAGCTGTTTATGATGGTGTCAGTGTCAGAAGCATGCTCCACCTGGGCTGAGGACCATGTTCACACCTAGATTCAGCCAACAGGAGTGAAGCTCACTGCGTCTTCACAGAGCTCAGTGGCCGTCACAGCTTTCCTGTGGAGGGAGGAGCAGAGCTGTACTGTACAAGGAGATCAGGAAGTAAATATTAAAGGAATACAGACTGATGCAGCCTCGTTATCAGACTAAAGCTAAACTAATTCACCAAACCAAAATGTTAAGCAATGAGGGAATTTCATTTTTTTTACTGGTTGAACTAACTTACAACATGCAAGTGGTACAAATGTATTCAAAGTAAACACTCTGAACCCAAAGGGAGAAATATGATCTAGAAATTAAAAATTATCTTTATATTAATAGGAGGAACAGTCTGCTACCAATATGAAATATGATAAAATAAGATAATGTGTATACAATATGATGAGCTGAATGTGATTAATAGGTCATGTGGGACAGAGATGTTGTCAGTTCAATGCATTTAGGTTAAATGGTTAAAAAAGCTGCAAAAACAGCTGGTAATTGAATTAGCTGAGTGAGTTCAAACCCCTTTATTCACACAGTGGAAAACACTGTACAGGATAAAAATCACTTAACAGTAAAACTCCTCATTTTGTGGAAATGAATGCACTGGCTGCCTGTAGCTTTGTGCTCCGAGTTATTCTCCACTGGCCCAGTAAATCTGGACTTTGCACTTCTCTAGAGTGAGAGTTCAAAGACAAGAGTTCAAACCACTTAGCTGGAGCCAAACATGCAAAGCGGGTTAAAACCGGCGGGTGTGATGCAAGTCGACCTGGCCAACTGCAAAATACTGTTTCTGCGACTGGGAGAAAACGCACTCACTCAACATGCGAGAACAAAGACGTACCCAGGCCTTTTCCCATCTTTTTAGCAGCTGCTCATGCTCTGTGAGCGCTCCTCTCCACTGGTTCAAATCCCTGGATGGAATGCTCTCCTCATCTGTCGAACAACGACATCTTTTATTGATGTAAACCATTAAACAAGTCCATCTGAGGACAGCTATACAACCACTCCAAGGGCCTAGTCTTGGCACACTGTTCCATTATCACTCTTCATGCCTTAAGTGATTAGATTTTATTCAATGTCCTGGTTCTAATACTCAAAAAACCATAAAACTCTGCACACCGGACATCATGACAACCACTTAACACCAGATACCTCCAATAGTGAGGCGGACGTCCACCTCAGACATGTCATTCCCTGTGTGGGCCTCAGCGACACATTGGTAACGGGCGTCCTTGATCAGCGGCCCCTCTCTGAGCCAGCTGCTCACGAGCACCTCTCTCTGACCCAGTGGCTGGCGGTACTCCATTATAGGGGTGTCCAGACTGTGTCCGTTTATTAGCCAGTGAATGTGGACGTCACTGGGACCTGGAGGACAGAATCGGACTTGATGTTGACCCTTGACGGTGGAGACACGGATAGTCCACGTAGACGCAACGTACAGGAAATGGGAACGCTTGTCTTTGACGGGCCCTTTTGTGGTGTTGAGTAAATTCAGCACCATATTTTTGACCTCTGCTAAAGAAGTAATGTTTACACCAGTCTGATGGTTTATATGTTAGTTTGTCAGCAGGGTTACACAAGACTACCCAACAGATTTACATGAAACTTGACATGGGCCAAAAAAAAAAACCTGGTTACATTTGGCACGGATCTCGACACAAATTTTCTTTTGCTTTCTTTCACATTATAAGATAGTCAAGTGTTTGGACATGAGCTGCACATTCTGAACTTTATACTGACGTCAATTCATTTTAAGGTTAATCCACTTATTTCCCAAAACGTTCTCATTTAATTTACAGGACATGCACAAGGATCACAGCCTCTCAGCCACATGCAGTGTTCTGTTGCACTTATCCACACAAGAGAAAAAAAACAACTGAAGTGAAGAACAAGCCAGAGTTGAAAACATTTTGACAAGATTTATTTAACCTACCAAGAGCCACAGCCCCAAAAAATGTCCCCTAGATTTATGTACAGCTTCAAAGTGTTTCTCCATATATACAAATATACTGTATTTACACTTGTTTACAGGCACAAAAATTGAACGTTTGAGATGAACTAATCCTAAATTTATTTGCTCCAAGGAGAGATTCTCAACATCCTGGATGAGAAAGATTTGCTCCTCTGTAAAACATGTTTCACGTCCGACCACTGTTACACAATAATGTACATAAAATCTAACCTTTCATTGACATACAATCGAGAACTGTGACAAAACCAGATCACAGAGGACAGTTTGATTTTGAAACCCAGATTTGTCTTTTTTACACATTCACTCATGATGCAGGTTTCGTCTGTGACTTCTAAAAATCTTAAAAAATAAAAAAAAAGGGCAGGCATGTTTTAGGCAGAAACCAGAAACATACACACACACACTCCCAGTTAGTTTATTTGTTGGGAAACGGTGGCATGCGAAATTATGAGTAGGGGGAAAAATGGCGTAGAGGAGAGGGAGGGTTAAAAACAGGAGGATTTTCAAACAGGAGTTTTTTTTAGGGGTGTGAGCCAAGTCGCTGTCAGAGGCACCACTCACCCAGGGCGAGGCAGAAGAGCAGGAAGGCCTCGTGGGCATGAACCCCCCAGGCCTGGTCCTTCAGCAGGGGAGGCAAGAGTCTCACCTCTGCCTCCCGAGCCTCCACACTGTGGGGCTTGGAAGAGGAGGAAGAGGAGGAAGAAGGGAGGACAGAGGGAGTGCTACTTCCAGACAGGGAGAATGAAGTGTCGACAGGAGAGGAGGCTGTGAGGGAGGGAGTGATGGAGAGAAGAGTGTTGAGGAAAACAGGAAATCTAAAGAAGGGAGGACATGCAAAACAGGCAGAGGGGAGCGACTAAAGAATGAGGAATAGGATTTTAAAAATCTGCTGCAATAAATAAAATAAAACAAAAAAGGAGAAAATCTTGCACAAAGGGACAAAATGACAGTACCACAGATTTGACGTCTTAAATAATAATTCTCTGA